AGAGAGGCTAGGGTTTTATTCTTAGATTTCGTTGTTTTTTGTGTGTCTTTCACAAGACATATATATCCTATTTATATGCTCATTGTGAATACCCTAACATGCCTTAAATTGGGCTAGGCCCAACAGCTTAAGTCAACTCTCTTTCTCGGCTCGTTTCTAACAAACGAATGCTCACAAAAATATAAAAAATATATTTTGACGACGAGCACAAACTCTCATCGACACGAGTACCTCTTTGCATTTCACCAATGTCCTAAATTGGAAATCCTAATTTAAGACTTGCCAAATCGGGAAACTTCCCAAAATATAAAGTTCACTAAATTTTCGTCGGATTCTTTTCCTCTACTTATTCTCATCCATAAGTAACAATTACGAATGGTGGACTCAATCATATTGACTTCTAATTACACTAAGATTAAATAATTAATCTTAGATCGTTGCATTAAGGATCTCAAGTACACGAGCAGTGTGACCCTCGATGGTTCAGGTGTAAGCTAGCCGTGGGCCCACAACCCATTGTGGTTTATTCAGAAAAGAAAAATAAAATGTACACTTATATATAAAGTATATATATTGATGTACTTATAGATAAATAATTTATATTCAGGAAATAAAAATTAAATGTAGTTTATAATATTTATATTTGAAATTGTATAATATGAATAAATAAAGATAAATTTATCAATTTATATTATTATTATATTAATTAATTTTATGAAGAAAAATATTTTTTTTTCACATAAAATAAACAAATCAAACACCTTGGGTTAGAAAGTCAATTATCATTGGTTGAACAGAAAGAGAATAATGAAATTACATGTTTCACATAATTAGTTTCGTAAAAGATAAAAAAAATAGACACGAAAGAATGGAGAAAATTATTCAAATGGATTCAATAAACGATAGAGGAATCCCTATTACAAATCAATAAATACACAATTTAATTTGTTTTGTATTACATGTTCAATTTTAATTAACATCAAATGGTTTTTTTCGAAAACAATTTTAGAATTATTGCAAATATAATTGATGGATGAAAACAGAAGCGTGGGTGAAAAAATAAATTCTATCTAAAAAAATATCGCCGTGCATCCACTGAATACTCATCCATACACTAAACGTGAATCATGTCGTTTCATGCTACACAACATTGTAGGGCTTTATTCTTGTCAATTTTCCCACATATGTGATGTGCTATCCATGGATATAAAAAAAGAAATACAAACATGAGCTACATTGTTGTATTGACACATACATTTCAAGGATAATAAAGAAAATAATACACTCCAACATAGTTCGAACAAACACGTGAAAAAAGTAAATAAAAAATAATACAATATAAAGCAAAAAGACATAAAATAATGAGGGTGAGGACCATTATATGGTGCTAATATAACAAAATATGTGGACAAATTATGAGATGAATGGGTTGTGATTGAGAGTATTTAAATTTAATTTTCAAACGCTAAATAAGTTAATAACATATGTTAAGGAAACAATCATAAATTGTAATAATTTTAAATGAAATCACGAGATAATGGTACAAAATCGTGGAAAATCTTCCAATCATTTGATTTATACGCCTATGAAAATCTACTCGTTCTGCTGACACAAATAACGTGTAACGACATTATGTATGATAACAAAATTCTTATGTTGTCACAGTAATTAACCCACTAAAAGCAGAATAAAGAGCACAAAAATTTAATGTGGTTAAGATACAAATGTATCCTACATCCACAAGGACTTGCAAACTAGTTCAGATTTAAGTGTACAATATTGGACTTAATAAAAACACTAAAGACTCCCTCTTTATGTTATACACCCTTCTTGCACACGACTCGAACTTGTTGATAATCAAAGCAATTCATCCATCCGCACGCTTGGACTCCCTCCAATGTTGAACTCCCTTCAAACGACGGATCGCACTCTCCCGAGATCTTTTAAGCACTTCTCCCGAAACGCCAATCATCTTTATGGCTTGGTAGAAGAAACCCGTCCTGTTGTCACACCTGATGTGCCGACATGGTTGCAGCACGGGCTGCACCCTTCAAAGCCTTTATGCTCGGATTTTCCGATTAAAGCTCCATGGGACTCTGATACGATCTAGCCAATTACGCGAGGTAGTGCTGAGCTGGATGAAGGAGTTGATGACTTGGACGAGCTGCATGTGCCAAGAGGACCGATTACGCGAGCTCGGGCCAAGCGCATTCAAGCAGCCATGGTTAGCTTAGTAGAACATGAGCTCCGAAAGAAAGAATTGACGAAGTTTAGTTCGATCTCAGCTGAGCTTAATTGGAGCGAATTATCGGGCCATATTGTGAAGCAAGCCGAGCTCAAGGACTTGAGTCCGTCTAGTCATACAACCGAGAAGAAGTGACTTGGAAAAGATGATTATTATTAATTTTCGTTTTATTATTGGACAATTTATTTCTTGCTATTTATAGTCCGATTTGGACTAGATTTAGTTTATTTCGTTATTTCCTTATGATAAATAGGTCAGGATTTATTTTTCTTGTTAGATTAGGTATCTTTGACACTTATAAATAGGTTGTTTTAGCTTTATTATTATTTGGACATTTTTAAGTATTATTTTGAGAGACTAAAATTCTCCTTCAGTGTTCTTCAACAACTCTTCGGGATATTTTGCGAGTGGATTCTTGTGAATTATTCTTAGCAATATAATATTGGTTTCTGATTCATTATAATCACGGGGTCAATACTTCCACCTTGATAATATTTGTTGTAGCTCTCTATAGCTACGAGGTCAATATTCCGAATTCCGCCAATCGAATCCTTTATTTTTTGGACGTTCCGTTCTTGCTTCCGCATAAGATTATTGGGTCCCGTAATTAGTTCTACGGGGTTCGTATCAGACTCATATGAGGTTGAGGGCCTTATATAGGCACGAAATTTACCACCCTAAACCTAACTTGGGCCCTAAGAAATCGATTTAACTAGGTAATATAATCCTAGTCGATTTCTACTTGTATTCTAGATAAGTACAAAAAATACCTAATTATAATATAATACATGGAAATAAATTTAATTCTTAATAACAATATTACAAGAATATGACTCTAATCAATTCCAAAATAAACATGGAAAACAAATCTTTGTCAATCTTTAATTTCCACGTATGGCGGATTTCATCAATCTTCACTAACAAAAATCCGGCGCCAACACAATCAAATCCGGAAGATCGTGAGTTAGCCTTAATGCTATTCTACATTTTATTTTAATTTGATATGAATTCATTTTTAATAGTAATTGAAGGAAGATTGTGGTCAAACATGGTAATGTCACTTTTTTGCCTTTTATTTGTAATAGTAATAAATCCAATTACCAAACCATCATACAAATGAAATCAAATGTTAATATAAAAGTCAAACATAAAATAAACAATAACGAAATTATATCTAATAATTAATGCAAAACCGATTTAGAAAAGTTAAAAAAAATAAAAAAATAATTACACAGAGGATCCACGTGCGATACACATAAGAAAATACATATTGCTCCAATGTCGTATTTTCAAGCTATATAGATATATATTTTTTGTAATAATTCATTTTGATTCATATAATCATATTTATAAAATATAATGATCTATAAATATAATGAAATATTATATTGTTTTACTGTAGATTATTGTACTTATTTAATATATCATTACATTTTATGAAATGATATAATAAAAATTTATATATATATATATATATATATATATATATATATATATATATATATATATATATATATATATGCTGCAAATTATACATATATAATTTATTGAATCCGTATTCCGATATTCCATAATATTGAAAAAAATATGTTTCTTTGTATTCGAATTAGTTGAATATTCATAAAAAAAAATGAATAGTATGTATTCTTAAAAAAAGGATATTAAAAAGGAATATTTCAAAAATTGAAATTATAAATAAGATACAAAATTCGAATTTATATAATATTTAATACATGAAAGAATATGTATATGTGGTAATGTTTGGATGAGTATGGAAATGTTCAATAGGAAATAAGTTAAACATATACCAAAATTAAGATGCCAACTAATCAATTGAGGAATACACATCATCAATTGAACTCCAACTAAGCAATTTAGAGAAATGACATAAGCATTTGTCACATGTCATTCATAGAAGGCATAAATTCTCTTTTTATATAACTAGGAAGGTGCACGTGCGCTGCACGTGTATAGTTATCTTTTCTATATTTTTACCTGTTTTTTCCTAAAACAAATTTAGCAACATTTATTTGTTTCTCTTGTCCACCACAGCTGCATTCAGATCAAAACCACAAATGTACACAAAATCGAAGAAATAAAGAATTTTCAAATAGTGTTTATAGATCTCTCTTCTCCCTGTATTCCACGTCGACTGAATATAGGTCACCGACAGTGGATGCTGAGGAATCAGTCCATTGTATATCATTGCCGAAAATCGAAGCGAGGCCTGCTTCTATTTTAAAATGTGATGCCGGCAAATAATTTTGTTTCCTGATTATACTATAACTTTCTTTTTTCTTATGCTCTCACCTTACCGGGTTGTGTTCCTGGGTAATAGAGAGACTTCCTTTTCTTCAGATTTGACGTTCCATTACCTGATTTTTCAGCGTTTGTTTTATCATTTCAACTTATGTTTCAATGTTCACGCATGAGAGGGTAACTTTGAGTGTATTCCTTATACGTGCGGGTCTATGCTCAACTAAAGTGCATGTGATAGCCAAGTCAATGCATGCAACAATTTGACATTCTGGTGGAGTTTCTGAAAGTGCAACAGTTATTAGTTTGCATGTGTCAAAATTACTCATTCTGAATGAGTATCTGTGTTGTTGCTCTTACTTCTTTCCCTCAATTTTATCTTTTCATTTCGATGTAATTATTGAGAACATGTGCCATGCTTCTGTCTCAGTGTATTCATCTATCTACATTAACTATGGTGGAAGTCAAGTAGTTGATGATAAAGGAACTATTTGCAAAAATGATGGAACTTCTGGGGGAGCTTCAAATTTCTTCACAAGTAGGACAAACTGGGGATTTAGCAGCACTTGCAACTTCTTGGATGATGACCGTGCTACGGACTCGTTCATCTGGCAAAAACAACTCAAGCATCTCAGGGTCGAATTCCAAGTTATACATGGATACACGTCGTTCCCCACTCTCATTGACTTATTATGGATTTTGTTTGATAAACGGGAACTACACAGCAAACCTTCATTTTGCGGAGATCATGTTTACTAATGACAAAACCTACAGTAGCCTTGGGAGGCGTATCTTTGATGTTTACATTCAGGTACTTGTATAAAGCCCACTTTTTTTCTACACATATTGAAGGTTATCTCTAACAAGTAAGGTCTGTAAAGAATAACTGATGTGCTGAAAGGGTTCTCTTTTAAATACGAGAACTATGTTGAATGAATGAGTTGAGTTTTGTTTTCATGTGATGTTGTTGATTATTTGTTTTGTATTTGTATTTGTAGTTTTCCATTTTACGAAATGCCTCATCGTTTCTGGAACAAATAATCTTAGGGAAAGCTGGTGCTGAAGGATTTCAACATTGAAAACGAAGCAGGTGGAGTTAACAAGGGAATTAGAAGAAACTTCACTGCAGTCGTTGCTGATAATACTTTGGATATCCGCTTCTATTGGGCTGGGAAATGGACAAATGGTATTCCTGTTAGAGGCTTATACGGTCCTCTAATTTCAACCATATCTATTGATCCTAGTAAGTCGGAAGTTGGCAATATATTAGTAACTTGAACACACGAGAGATAGTTGTCCGACACATCTCTAATATAGCCAAGAAAAGAGATTATGGATTATGCAAAATATTTTATTTATTTAAAATATAGCTAAGATAGTTGTCCGACACATCTCTAATAAAGTCTAATGGTAATGATGGTAATGATGAAAATTCTAGCAAGTTTTGTTTGTTTATTTATTTATTTTTTATTTTTCTATTTTACAGTTTCCATTTCAATTTTACAATTTTAGAACTTTTTCTTCATTTGGATTTCATTTCTTTTAAAAAACAATTGCATCAAAATTGAAACTAATATTTTTTCAAATTTCCAATTTTAAATAAAGTAATTATTTTATTAGTGTATTTAGAAAAATATTATATTTATAATATCAAAATGTTTATATATTTATATAATTTATCTTGTATATATATTATATGTCAATGAATATAAATTTTATGAAAATTTGAATTTAGTTTGATATAAATATTTATATCAATAACTTTGAAAATTCGATTTTCGAAGATTGAATAAACGTGTTTGACTTAATTTCAAAAAATAATTCAACTTTAAAATAAATAAATAAATTTTACATAAGTTTCACTTTTATTGTAAATAACATGCACTAAACCCCCTTATGTTATGAAAAACATGCATTGAATTCCCCAAAAATATTTAACGGTATTAATTGTTAAAGGAATGGGGGATTTCATGCAAGATAAAACAAAACACAGGGAGATCCCACGCAATAAAATTAACACAGAGAGATTTGGTGCATGTTTTCCATAACATATGGAGTATTTTGCAGTTTACCCTATAACAACATAACACAAAGTATATTAAAATCTACCGTTAAAGCATCAATGTTACATGATCAACATCAATTGCCAGTATATATTATGGTGGATATTTATGCATTCAAATCATTTGCAAAACATCATATTTGCTTTTAAAACATTAGAAATTAAAAAGAAAACGATTAATTAGAAGAGAGAAAAAGTTACATGTACGAGTAGTAGTGGATGAGCATGTGATTCTTTATGAACTTTAATCAATATTGAAGAAGGCAAATGAAAAAAAGGGAGAGAATATAAGAAGTATATCTAATGAGTTTTCTTGGTTTGTTTTATTTTTTGACATTCCCAAAGACAATCCGATAGAATGTTCATGTATAACTATTAACTAATGAGTTGTTAATGATATTTATTGTCATTAATTGTGTTAGAAATAAGTCACTATATGTTAAATAACATAAAAAAAAATTGAGTTTTGCAGTTACGAAGCCTTAGAAGTAAAGTGAGGGAATACAAATAGTTGCAAATAAATAACTTGGCAAACAAATAACTTGAATATAATTATTTATTTTAAATCAGATGGTATAGTTATTTAGATAATTAAGCAATATTACAAAATTACCCTTCAAATAAACCTAATTGAAGGGGCATATTTGTAAGCACAAAAAAGGGAAGAAACCTCACCCAAGATTCACACTTTTATAGATATTAAAGATTAAAGATTATAGATATTAAAGATATATAGATTGTAAGATAATGATTTTACCAACATGCTCTGATTTTGTTTCTAAGAATGAATTGGTTCAACTTTTTTCAGATTTTTTGACTTTGAGCTATCCTACGTTGGAAAAGTAGTGAAGTTGAGAGCTATTTATATGACTCAATGTTGGACCTAAGGGTTAAGCCCTTTGGGCATACAACATTGTTTAGGAGAAAGACTTATATATTGTGAGTTTCGAATCATGCCCGTGCGCCGTCTGTCCGTCCGGTTGGCTCGCTCCGGATTTGGATTTGGATTTGGGCTTGAGCCCAAATCACTATATTAATTTTTTGGGCAAAAAACATTAGAAAATGGGCCGACAACCTAATGGAGTCTCCTACCCGATGCCCATCTCGATTTGGCCGACAATCCTAGTGGTATTTTCGTAAGTATTCATTTTTAATATTTTTTTTCTACTAATTTCTAAATATAATTTTTAACAATTATCAAAATGAAACCAACTCGTGAAGAATCCTATCCTAATGGTACTTCTGTAATTATTTAATTTTAATATTTTTTCTCTATTAATTTTCTAACTATAGTTTTAAAAAAATATTAATCTCCTATTTTTCATCAATATATCACAAATCTTAAAAAATAAAGATTGAAATTTGATTTATTAAATCTGAATATGCAAGATTTAAAAAAAAAGTAATGTTATATAAAATATGAATAATAATATATTATTAAATTTTACTATGTTAGTGCACTTTATTTTCTTATTATGTATTAAATTTATTATTTTTTTCACTTTTGAAATCTTATCCGATGCATCGCACGGGGAAAAATGCTAGTATTATTAATACCAATTAAATACATGTGTTTGTATGCGTGTGGGTTGGATGCGTGCTAACAAAATGCTATCCTTATATTACGAATTCAAACAATAAAATATAGTTTAATTACATCTTAAGACTTAATCAAAAAAAATATTCCAACATAAATAAGTTCGCCAATTTTTCCAAAAACTAAAAACAGATTTAAAAGTCTAAAGCCTAGGATTATTAAAAAGTCTTAACATATTAACAGAAAATTAAAACCATACAACCTCGACAAAAATTACTTTGAGTTCCCTCCCTATGTTTTCTTTTTATGAGTAGTGATAATTATTTCATGGTCCCATAGTTTTTCGACAACTCATAAACATCGGCTTCGTGGTCGTTTGATGCAAAATCGCGGAAACCTCATTTCTCCCTAATTCTTCTGAATTTCAGTTTCATCCGACGTAACTTTTCAGTTATTTGATTCTTACTGAAATGGGGAAGACGACCATTCATAAACTTGTGAAAGCCAACCCAATCATAGATTCTTTTGTGGATCCAAAAATGCTCGAGACCACTAAAGAGAATGAGTTGTTCTTATTTGGAAAAGAGGTCACCAATTTTCTTCATCTTCTCGTTAGATTTGGAGGACTCACCTTCTCCATTGGATTCGAGCATTACTATCTCTTTTGCTACCTCTTGTGGTTCAACATTCGTGGCAACGTTGTTTTCACCAGATATCACCATCTGATTTTCTTGACTCTAAGACTGTTCTTGGGGCATCATTTTCATAACTCGGATATTGCTTTGTGTTTGTGTTTATCACTACAACAACAACTCATCTATATATAAAGATGAATTTAGAGGGGATTTGAAACACCAAGCCTTTATTTCCTTCTTGATTAGCCGCCAATTTTTTCACTTCCTAAGCCGCTTAGGATATTTTCCCCGACAATCCTGTGTAAATCCTCTAGAAAGAACGAAGATCCACCCTTGCAATGTAAAATTTAGTAGAATCTTCTAGATTATATGGAATACTCTATATTTTGTACCCGTTTTATCCCATTCGACCTCCATATATTGAAGCAAGATGATCTTAACATGTGTTTTTTGGCTTGTATATATCAGATTGTGGTGCATCAAAAACTGCATGTTTGCATAAAACGAGTACAAACTAGGGAACATTCCACGGAACCTAGAAGATTATGATGTATTCGTGGCAATGTTGTTTTCATCAGATATCACCATCTGATTTTCTTGACTCGAAGACTGTTCTTGGGGCGTCATTTTCTTGACTCGGATATTGCTTTGTGTTTGTATTTATCACCGCAACAACAACTCAGCTATAAATAACGATGAATTTGGAGGGAATTTGACACACCAAGTCTTTATTTCCTTCTTGATTAGCCGCAAAATTTTTCACTTCCTAAGCCGCTTAGGGTTTTTTCCCCTACAATCCCGTGTAAATCCCCTAGAAAAAACGAAGGTCCACCCTTGCAATGTAAAATTTAGTAGAATCTTCTAGATTATATGGAATATTCCAAATTTTGTGCCCGTTTTATCCCATTCGAACTCCATATTTTGCATAAAACGAGTACAAACTAGAGAGCATTCAACGGAACCTAGAAGATAATGATGTATTCGTGGCAACATTGTTTTCATCAGATATCACCATCTGATTTTCTTGACTCGAAGACTGTTCTTCGGGCGTCATTTTCTTGACTCGGATATTGCTTTGTGTTTGTGTTTATCACTACAACAACAACTCAGCTATAAATAACGATGAATTTGGAGAATTTGAAACACTAAGTCTTTATTTCCTTCTTGATTAGCCGCCAATTTTTTCACTTCCCAAGCCGTTTAGGGTTTTTTTCCCCTACAATCCCGTGTAAATCCTCTAGAAAAAACGAAGGTCCACCCTTGCAATGTAAAATTTAGTAAAATCTTCTAGATTATATGGACTATTCTATATTTTGTACCTCTTTTATCCCATTCGAACTCCATATTTTGCATAAAACGATTACAAATAGAAACCATTCCTCAGAACCTAGAAGATTATGATGTATTCGTGGCAACGTTGTTTTCATCAGATATCACCATCTGATTTTCTTAACTCGAAGACTGTTCTTCGGGCCTCATTTTCTTGACTCGGATATTGCTTAGTGTTTGTGTTTATCACTGCAACAACAACTCAGCTATAAATATCGATGAATTTGGAGGGAATTTGAAACACCAAGTCTTTATTTCTTTCTTGATTAGCCGCCAATGTTTTCACTTCCTAAGCCGCTTAGGGTTTTTTCCCCTACAATCCCGTGTAAATCCACTAGAAAAAACGAAGGTCCACCCTTGCAATGTAAAATTTAGTAGAATCTTCTAGGTTATATGGAATATTCTATATTTTGTACCCGTTTTATCCCATTCGAACTCCATATTTTGTATAAAACGAGTAAAAACTAGAGAACATTCCACGAAAACTAGAAGATTATGATGTATTCGTGACAACGTTTTTTTCATCAGATATCACCATATGATTTTCTTGACTCGAAGACTGTTTTTCGTGCGTCATTTTCTTGACTCGGATATTGCTTTGTGTTTGTGTTTATCACTGCAACAACAACTCAGCTATAAATAACGATGAATTTGGAGGGAATTTGAAACACCAAGTGTTTATTTCCTTCTTGATTAGCCTCCAATTTTTTCACTT